AAATTTTACACATAATATGCATTTATATTATATGTATAATACTTTGTTTTACGTACACACTTGTCGATTAATTTTTAAGATGTGATGCCTTTTTCATTGTAATGCGCATAGAGCATCTTTAGGAAATGGAAATGCACAGTATAAATGCTATTTATTATTTATTATTATTATTATTACATAATTTTCTACTGATATTTATATTTGAACTGCTGTAACACCAAGCCAATTTCAGCCAAAGTGTGTTTTCTGAGATCTCATCAGGTTAAACACTCGAGATATTCTGTATCACTGGGGCATATATGTAATCAATATCAATGTTAGCCTATAACGCAACATAATCGTAAGGGATGAAAGGCAGATTTACGAACAACTATAATTCAGTCTTAATCTGAAGAATATTATTATTATGAATACCCTTTAAGTTCGGCTGGTGCGACAGAACTTTGCATCATCGCATTATGAAGCTTGTGGTTTTTCTATTCTTATGAGTGGTTTTAGACAGACATTGTTGTTGATTTACAGTTGTAGTTATTGATGTTGTTGTTGTTGATGATGATGATGATGATGGATGATGAATAATCACAACTTATACCCGCCTACTTTCAACCCTGCTTCCTCTTCCATTATTTTTTAACATCAAACTACGCAAAACCAGAGACAGCTTGTTTTTCTATTTCAAACCAAACACGAATTTAAACTTTGACCAAATAACGCGTGTCAAGGCATGGTAGTAGGTAGGGTAAAGACGACTATACTATAAAAAGGGTTTACTTGATGTTACAAACGCATTTTTCTTTTTTCATCCTCAGCTGAGTGGACGTGCGAAAAAATCCGTCTTCATTCCTAAGGGATCCTACAGGACTGATCTAGAAATGTAGTACCATCCAGCAGCTTTTTCTGATTAGTGGTGTGTTGTAACTGCTCTTGTTCTTTCAACTAAGTTTGGATATATACCAGACATGGCATATAACTGAAATGTGTAAACTGGTTATATTTTTACCCTTCCGAGAACATCTTTGCTAAGAAAGACTGCACGCAGACAAACTTCCCATTTATTTGTGGAAAGCAGAACACTTTGTTCTAGCCTCGAGAGACCAAAGTGTCTGAAAAACGTTAGTGCAGGAATGACTGTTTGGAGAACTGTGTCATCTAAATATTTGGTTTTCTTTGGGTTAAAAGCCTTTGTTTACCCATGCTGTATTTACATTTTCCTGCTGAATTATGTTAATCATGAGACAATCGCCTTATGAAAATGTCTGCCAAACATGAAGTCTTTGTTGTCGGACGTTTACTCCAACTGCTCTGTCCGAATCAATTCAGGGCAGAGGCCTAACCGCTTGACAAGTAAACTAATTAACTGAAATACAGAAATCTCTATGTCCTCCCTGCCGTGGATCGTAAAGCATTAAAATCTCAGCTTTTTATTATACCTGATTATCTTATTGCATCAGACAGAAGAAAACCAAAAAAAATGTGGCCTAACGTAAAAACGCAACAACCATGTCCATCGCAATGTCTCAGCCCAGCTTCGGCCTGATTCAGCAGTCTTCCACATCAGCTTACCCATGTACAAACTGAAAACAGACGTACCGCAGGTACCAAACTGAACTATAGTGTATCTTATATAGTGCTAACTCGCCCCAAACTACAACTTTAAAGCAAGGAAGACAATAACAGCATCAGCACTGTGCTTGTTTGCGTCACCATCCCAAGACTTGGCCAACATGTCTGTACCAACGTCCCAGTCTGCTGACCTGATGTCCGCCGAGTTCCCTCCCTCGGACCGGTCGGCTGACCCCCACCAGAGAGCTCAACAAGCCGTGGAAGTTTTCTACGACTACAACAACACTGAGATGTTCCACCCGCGGGCCTTCGAGAGAGGCTTCGTGACCAGCGCCAAAGTGGGTATCACGCTGTGCGTGCTGGCAATCCTGGCCAATCTAATGCTCTTCGTCTTCTTGTGTTCCTCAAGAAAACTACGCCTTCAGTATCTCTACATTCAGGTGAGCGGCTAATACAGTTTGTTCCGACTTTTTATTTCGGATGGTGTTAGTGGTGGCGATAAGACGGGGTTTTGAGAACTGTCATCGTACCAATTGAGACAGTGGCCACAGTACCAGTACATGATGTATTGTCAGTACTGGTAGAGATTGCATTGCGTCCGGATGCTTTAAGCAGATAACAATAGCCGCTGTATTGGTGGTAGTGGGAGGGAAAATGGCGAGACGAGCTTAATACTGGCAATACGCCTGTCTCGGAGAATGGGTATTGGTGGTACTGGGATGGAGAAGGGGTATTGGAGGTAGTGGGAGAGAGAAGGGGTATTGGTGGTAGTGGAAGAGAGAAGGGGTATTGGTGGTAGTGGGAGAGAGAAGGGGTATTGGTGGTAGTGGAAGAGAGAAGGGGTATTGGTGGTAGTGGGATGGAGAAGGGGTATTGGTGTTAGCGGGAGAGGTAAGGGCTACACTGGTGGTAATAATGGGTGTTGCAATACGTGGTGGTTGTGATGGTGATGGTGATGGTGGTTGTGGTTGCGGAGGTGGTTACGGTGACATGACAGACAGTTATTGTAGACAACTGCCGGACTTTGACGTTGGTTAGAGATAACTAAAAATATAATCGGCTCCGCGACAGTTGGTTTGGCAAACCATAACGGTGTCCAAATACAGGTTACTCAAGTATGATGTGGCAATGTTCAATGCAACTAGGTGAGTGCACAGTAGCGAAAATTTGAAAATGGTAGAAAAAAACGCTTCACCTTTAAGAAAAATAAACAGCTAACAAGATAGTGCAGTGAAGTGGTCATGGATGGAGCTCAGAGCACTGGTATTCAAAAGCGTTAATGTTCTCTGCAACTTGTTGTTTGGCAGCCGTCCCTAAAGAGATAGCAATAGATGAAAGTTGCCATGTACATGAACCAGATATTCAAATAAATGTAACGTACATTATATGCAATTACTTACTGGTAATGGTAATTCGTCTTACGGATTTGGGTTATTTTAGTCGCAGTGTTCTCACGTTGCACCTCGCGAATCATTGTCTTGGCACATTTCTAGATTTCATATTTGTAGTATAACGTGTGAAGAAAAGATGAAAAATAAACGTTACTTGATTAAAAGGTTTCGAAGTTAAATCCCTGCTACATTTTTTCATGAGACAAACATATATTCTCAAAACCTTTAACGCTCTTCAGAACCTCAAAATTTACTGTCAATTTCGAAGATTCCAAATATCTTAGATTAATTATAAATTACTTGCTTCCCAACCCTCCAACCCCGTCTTAAAACAAAGGAAATTTTCACTACAAAAGTTGTCCCTAAATGTCCTACTTTCAATTCCCTTTGTTATTTTCCGTCTAGTCCAGCCATAAACTTTTGTAATAAAAATTACCAAGACCTTGGCACATTTCTTTTCCAAATCCCTGTTGTAGTTTCTACGCTATCAGACGCTAGCGCTTTAGATTCCCAATCTGATATTGAATAATTCAAGAGGTTGATGGTAAAATCTGTCCTAGTGCTTGATCTCTTACTGATCGTCGTTTGTTTCCCGCTACAGCGCGCGCATTTCATTTCCCCAAGAGACCTTGTAGTGCGCATGAATAGAGATTGAGTTTTCTGTATTATGCACAGGTAAAGGCGAGTGATGCAATGGTGACGAATATCATAGTATTGCAAAATTTGATGTTGGTTTCTATTTCTGGGTTGCTTCCTGCTTCTTCTTGCAGTTGACCACTGCATGGCTATTACCCAAACGTGATCCTTACTGAGAGCGTGTTTTTGTTCTTGTGGGTGTGTGTTGTTTTGTTCTGATTTGGTTTTTGGTTTTGTTTTTAAACCCCAAAAAAACTTATTTTACCTCTTTTGCGGCACGGTTTCTCGCTAGAACATTCTCAGTAAAAATTAAAATGTAACTTTTTGGACTACAAGCAGTACGATGATAACTCAAAGTCAAATCGAAGCTCGAATCAGAGTATCTGATTTTTTTCAGTGTAATATCGGCCTCGGACTGACAGGAGACACACGAGTCGAAATCTTTATTGTTGTTGTTGCTATTGTTGTTGTTGTTGTTTTTAAGGTTGTTGTTTTTTGTTGTTGTCGTCGTCGTCCTTGTCGTCCTGTTGATGTTTTTGCTGTTGTTGCTGTTGTGGCTAGAATGCCAGCACACACAAGAGCCAAGATAGTGTCAGAGAGTGCAAATATATGTGTGTGTTAGTGTGTTTGTGTGTTTGTGTGTGTGTATGTGTGTGTGCGTCTATGTGTGTGTTTGTGTGTGAACTTAGGAAGAAGGATATAGAGATAGGGAGAGAGAAAGAGTGAAAGAGAAAGACGGAGATGGTATTACGTGAGTGTACCTGCGTATTGATTTAGGCGTGTATAGTAATGTGTACTAATCAAAAATCTTCTATTGTCTGTATTTGGAGTTACAAATATATCATTGTCACTACGTCTCGTTTATGATGAACCTTACAGCAGGATCAAACCGCAAAAAAGTAACATTATTTCCCCCAGCATCATTTTTACTGCAGAATTGCAAGAAATTGTAGCAGACAGAAAGTTTTAATGTGCGAAAATATTAGGGATCGTGTCATTTTTTTGTATAGGCAACATGGGCTGAGGTTTAAAATCTGAAAACGATGTGAATTATTCATGTCTGATTGCCAACAATCCAGACAGCCATCGGAATATAACACGATGATTTTACGATGATTATGGAGGGGGCTATTCTGCTGAATACAAAAAACCGAAAACTGGACTTCGGGGAGATGCCTGTTATTAAAGTTAACGAATCGCCCACGGGCATGCTTTTGTGTGAGAGAGAGAGACAGACAGACAGACAGACAGAAAGAGAGAGAGCGCGAGGGAGAGAGAGA